CTCCAGAGTGGAACAAGGTCCAGCCCCTCTCAAGGAGATCGGGTCCAGAGCCCATGATGTGCGTCGAGGTGAGCCCAACTATATCTAGTCGATACCCGTCAACCTCACGCACAAGCTCAGGCTCCTTCTCCATCATTGAGGTCACGTTCCATGTCCCAAGAGCCAGCTTTGGTAAGCCAGGGTCAGAGCGCCATGGCCCCCACCTTCGGCTACTGCCCATGGAGTCATGCACCCACTTTGTATGGCCCCTCCTGCAGGTGGTGGTCCCACAGGAAGGAAAACCCATGTTGCTCGTTCAGGCTGAGCCCGACTGGGCCCCATGGGTAAACCTGGTCATCAGGCACTTAACGAGCCCCTTCCCCAGGCCTGGCTCCAGGGTGGGGCCCCGGTAACCCACGTCCGGGCAAGGGACACGGAGTTCCTTCACTTCTTCTTTTTATTAAATAACTATAAATTCATATCAAACTTTATTATGTCATTAACCCTAAAATATGTCATGCAGCATTCTATAGTATTTGTATTTTTAAATGAAAGCAGATAAATCACGATGCGTTTTATCAGTTTCAATGTTTTTCCTCAACTTGTATATAATTTGAACGTTTCTCAGGATCGATTGTTCCGAGTTAATTATTCTGCCACTGTCGGCATCAGAGGAGAAAAAATACAAACTGAATAAAATATTGTTTAGAAGCTCAGCTTCATTACTGAGATGTAATTCAATAACGAGTGTTAATTTTAGGAGCCATTATGAGGCTCTGGACTGTAAGCAATGAAAGGTTTAAAATTTGTTGATATTATTAAATAAATACAAGAAAATAATGAGACAAGTCTGTCCCTCATTTTAAGTCAGAATGTTAAAAAAAAGAAACAAGTCACTTTAACAAAATGTTTAATTTGTGAGTTAGGCAACAAACAGTGACGGTAAAAAGGTTTTTATACACCGGCCTGAAAGGGAACCGCTGGGATTTGGGTCAATCATGTACCATCCATCAGTTTACGTCTGTTCTGACAACATGCAAAACACTTTGTACAATCTGTTTTCATGATTAAGAAATGTAGATACTTATAACTTTTGATAAAATTAGTGCTTTCAGCTTAACTGTGAACTTACAGTATGTATAAAATCTCCCCTCTGCAGTGATTCACGTCATCGGCTCCGAACCGTCAGGTCAGATCAAACATGCGAACTGACAGGAGGTCAGCGTGAAAGAGACATCAGGTCGACGAGGGAAGCACTAACTACATCAGAAACTGAGCAGAATTTAAGCTGCTGATTAAAAAACAGCTCCTCACCGCTTTAAGGTTTGATCCGTCTGCTTCAACCACGACAGGATTCTTTTGGTTTTCATAGCTTTAACCGTGCCACGCACTGAAACCTAAAGTCCACTGAGGTATAAAATATAAAGAAGGTCCACCACAACCGCCTCCCATCAGACATTTAAACTATACTGTACTGCAGCACTTAAAGGGTAGTTCAGATCTTTTGAAGCGTGATTCTGATGTAAAGCGAACAATTCAAGCCTGACGTTAGAACAAAGGTCTTTAAATGATTTAACCGACCTCAAACGGCTCCAGTCTCAGATACTGCAGCGCTTCGTGCACACGCTGTTCTATAAACACTAACGCGCCGTCAGTTTTGCAGTTTACTGTTATTTCAGTAGAAATGATGAGAGCTTACAAATAAATCAAAGTCTTTGCATTCTTTGAATAACATGCGGCACCCCGGTCTTTCACGCCAGAGGTTTGAAAAGTGACAGAATTGTGTTCGTTTTGGAAAAACATTAAAATTAACACTCAGAATGTGTGTTGTGATCTACTCTCAGCTACCACCCCCCGACTGCTGCTCCACGTCTGTAAACTTGACCGAGTTATAGACGTTTTTGAGTTTCATTAAAATCCATCCTGTGGTTCATGAGCTATTTTGCTAACAGACGGACATGAACATGCAGACGTCGTCTGCCTTCGTCTTTCTATGGCGGGTGGCAGCAGCATTCCCTGGAAACAACAGGGACATGTAAAGGGTTAGACAGTCCTGACAGCTGTTCATCAATCTAACCAGAACCAAATCCTTTCCCCAAACAGAGGTCATTCAAAGAGCTATCTGCAACAGGTAAGACATTTACTGTTCAAAACATCGCCTCAGAACCCTACTTCAAAAGATCTGTACTGCTTGAACTGAGCTCAAGTAAAAAATAAAAAGTGTGAACACCAGGGGGCGCCAGAGCAGAAATAATCCGTTTCATCTCCTCAAACAAGTCTTCTCCAACCAGAAGTTTCCTAAATACGCTGCAGGTGTAACGCTGGATGAACTGAAGTCAGGAGGATGAAGATGAGGACGTAGTGATTAGGCTCACTTGGGTTTTTCAAGTCAGGAAGCAGCAGTAGTAGTCAACACGTTTGCTGTGGGTGACCGTTCAGTGACATTTCAGACAGGATCTCTGTGAGGGCTTTACAACGAAACACAAACGATGCAACTGAATATGATCTGTACAGGTAAAAAAAACAAGACTGACACCGACAACCATGACCGTGATGTCGTTTTCTCAGTTCTTATGTAATAAAATCTTCTCAGAGGTCAGTCAAAACACATGACGGTGATGAAGGACATCCATCGACCTTCAACTGAAGTCCTTTTGAATTCTTTTAAAATTTTTCTTCATGCTGATAAAAAAACACGACTGTAGCTCCTGATGAGGCTTCATCTGGGTTTTCTTCTCAGTGGCACGGAGGTTCTGGTTGATGTTCTGAACATTCAGGGCAGATTAAAGCAAATCCATGTCAGCTACAGCCGCTGTGTTTGAGTTCAGTGTCCGTCAGTCTGTCTGCCTGAGGTCCACATGAAGCTAACACCAGTCAGCAATGTAATCAAAGTCAGAAAACTGGTTCTGCTCCTCTGAGTTCAGCATTCGGGGTTCCCTCGGGGGGGTTAAAATTGGAGCCTCTGAGGTAAATTCGTCGTCAAAGTTGCTGACGTCGTTGGCGCCCTGGATGGTGGGCACAAATGGCGGCTTCACCTTCTTGGCCAACAGATCATCCCACTCCATGTACTGCCAGAAGACAGAGTAACGTTAGCTCGTTCATGACCCTGACTAAAAGTGCTCATTTTGTTTTTGTGCCTTACCTTGAAGAAAGGATGTTTCTTTACTTCCTCTGCATCCTTCTCTCCTGCTCCAAGACGTCGTTCTGGACTCCTCCTCAAAAGCTGCGCACAAGAAAAACAACAAGAGGACGGCACATTATGCGCCCGTCAAACTATCAGACAGCAATCTGTAGCAACGGCCCGGACATGCAAACACCCTGTATAACATTCAACCTTGATTTGTGACCTTGACCTTGAAGCTGGGTGATGAAGCGTGTATGCAGTTTTGCTCATTCATCTTGTGCGGCTCAAAGGTTATGGGACAAGTTTACGAACGTACAGACAGAAGCTGTAGCAGCAGAAGTCGTGCCTTGGATGCAGTAAAAAGGAGGAAACTCCAACACAGGAGGGTTTCAGCTTCGACCCGACAGACGTCCACTATGATGCAGAGTGGTGTGTAAAAGTACTGCGGCAGAGTGAGGGGGTAAGGTTCTCACACTGTGAAAGGAGCTACAGCCCTCTGTGAATAGCAAGCGGCCATCAGGGCCCTAACGATCAGTTGTTAGGTTGATGGTGCTTCTTTATCACGTGAACAGCTAGTTCTGGCTGTCACCACCAAACTGGATGATCCACTATGACTCAAATACTGGGGCGATGCCGGGGGGGGGACGTGTGACCCCGGGGAACATGCATTTTTTTTGCCACAGGGAGTAGTTTTCTTCTTCTTCACCACTCTCATTTTGACAGGGTGCGTTCCAGCAACTGTTTGCTCGTATCCAGCAACTCTCAGGCGGACTAATAATAAAGTTATGAACAAACATGACTGCCTCGTCTTTTGTGGAGCCATGCTTGAACCGCGTCGCTCCCTCTGCTGCTGAGACGATAAATACACAACTCCGACACCTCTGCTGCTGGTTTTGTGACGCTCTGGACGCCCGTCACCCACAGCACACATGCAACAAAGAGTACCAGTATAAACTCAAAGTAAGAGCGAGACCCGCCCCCTCTCTCCTCTTTCACAGAGGACCATGGGCAGCATTCTTCCTTTTGCAACATCTCATCTTTGTGAGACTGACTTCTCTGCTGTTGCTGCTCTGAAGACCAGGTCCAGGTCCAGGACACATTGAGCAGGAGCTGAGAGCTGCAGTGTCATGTTTCAAAAAGCTGTGCACTGCAAAACGTGCTCATTGCAGACATTAATCATGACGTCCTCATTTTGATGTAAAAAAAATAATAAAAATCAGCACAAATTGTTTTATTCATTTTTGTTTTGTAGGTCAAAGTGTTTTATATAACACTCTAAAACATTGCTTAAAAATTTGAATTAATTATTTATTGATTATATTTAATTTTATTTTTCAGTATGAAATGGTCAAAATGTTTACAGTTTAAATAGATTTTTTTTTTCAGGCAAATTGATGCACTTTAATTTGTTTCCGTTACAAATTAAAAATAATGTTAATAATAAATTAAAAAAGCTCAATACAAAAACAACTAAAAGTTATTCTTTCTTGTAAGTTGATGTATATATATATTTTTTTTTTTTAATTATTTAACGTTAATAAGAACACAATGTTATGCAGAGGTGTATGTATAACAATTTTATAGACAAATTAAACTATTTACAGTTGCGGTGGAGATTTGGGGGGTGCAAAATGTTTACTTCTTCTTGGGGGGGTAACAGAAAATAATTGAGAAGCACTGCACTATGTGAAGGTACTATTTATCAGACTGAGTTTGCTGCAGCTCCTCAGACTGATGGAAGGATTTTGGATAAAAGACCAAATGTTTCAACAAGAAGAATCTGTCCAGAGGACCTGATATAACCTTTATTATTATTGATCATTACTGATTATTACTGATTATTGAGCATATATCAGGATACAGTCGAGTTTGATCCCTTCCTAGAAAAAGTTGAAGGTTTCCAGTGGGCTCACTGGTAACTTGTTTGTAGCCAGTCATGAACAGACTGGTTTAGCTGTGGGTCATCAAGTTGCCTGAATCAGTCTGTAGTCTGAACCGAACTCCCCACCCAACACACCTCCTCCACCTTTCCCTGACCGCTGCCTCCATCTCACCCAACTGTTTTGAAACCAAACGACACACATCATTAGATGTCCACCTCCACCCACTCGGCTCAGTTTGTACCCACCCAGGTAGCTGTCGTCACATTTATGATTGAAGTGACGGGAGTGCACGTCACAAATGAAGATGGGCAGTTTTCTCTAGACCTGGACTCCTGCCTCAGGTGTTGTGTCAGAGGACCGCTCCCTGCAGGTGTCAAATGACTACGGCATGCTGGAGCTGGGTGGGAGAGCCCGGCAACAACCTCGTAACCATTTTGAGAGAAAAGTTGTTGCGCACGTTTTTTTCACATGTTGAAATTCAGGCGACATGGCTGTGTGCTTCTGACTCCAACGAAGACGAGAAGCCTGTGAAAGTTACAATACATTCATGAGGCTCATTCATGACAGCTGCTCACCAACTTGTCGCAGCCCAGAGAGACTCCTCCTTAAAGTGTGAGGTGGAGATTTGATCGCTTTGTTTTTATTATGAACCGTTTTTCTTATTTTGCTGCACGGAGGCATTTTTCCTTTGAATCCTTCCTAACAACAACAAAGAGTTGTCAAACTGCTTGTGTGATCTGTGATGGACTCTTTCTGGGTACACACCCTCCTCATGATGGTGATGGCATCCGTCGAAAGAAATCGTGGGTAACGAACTTCATCGTTTACGATGCTGTCAAATACCTCCTCCTCATCATCACCGGGGAAGGGCGACTGAAAACAGAAGAATAAATGAATACATGTCGACACAAAGACATTAGGAGATGATGCACCCACAATCACTACCTCACCTCTCCAACTAGCATCTCAAAGATGAGGACCCCCAGGCCCCACCAGTCCACAGCACGCGTGTACGACGTTTCTGTTAAGACTTCTGGAGCCAAGAACTCTGGGGTGCCACAGAACGTGCTGGTCCGGTCCCTGTAGCCCATCCCTGAGAGCCACACAGAGGAAATCCTAAATCAACTAGAGAAACTGCATTTCCTGCAAAAATGCAGCGTGAATGCTTATTGCAGAAGAACTTGCTGAAAAACAGCTGAAATTAGCTAAAAAAAATACTGAAATCTAGATGAAATGGAAGAACAAGCATAAGTTAGCAGAAGAAAGGAGAAAGAACACATATTTGTTGAATTAGGATTAATTCATTCAACCTTTATTTAGACTGGTTAATCCCACTGAGCCTCCGGGACTCATTCACAAGAGAGACCTGATTAATTCTTAAAGAGTGATGACGGCAATGGATGACAACAATATACAATCATAAAAGATGCGTACAAATTAAACATTGAAATGTAAAGAAGCAGAAATGAGCACAAAAAATAGCAACTTAGCTTAAAAAAGGCTTAAATTAGCAAGAAATAGCTGAAAAGTAGCTGAAAAGGCAGAACGAAGTTTAAACTACCTCAAGGAAGTGGAAGGAGCTGAAAAGAGCTAAAAAATGTGGAATTAGCTGAAAAAGCTCAAATTAGCATAAAAACAGCTAAATAGTAGCTGAAATAGGAGGAAAAAAATGAAACTACCAGTAGTAGAAAAAAACTGAAAGGAGCACAACAAACTGAAATTAGCATAAAGATGTTAATTAGGCTAAATGTAGCTGAGATTAACATGAAAAACTTGAATTTATGTGAAAACAGCTAAAATTAGATAAAAAATGCTAAAAAGTTAGCGGAAGAGTTAAAACAAGCTTAAATTAGCAGAAGAAAGCAGAAAGAACATATGTTTGCCCACTTAGGCTGAAAGAAGCAGAAATGAGCACAAAAAAGTGGAAATTATCTGAAGAAAGCTGAGAGAAGAAAAAAACCACCTGAAAATCAGCTAAAAAACAGAAAAGCTTAAATTATCAGGAGGAAGTGGAGAGAGAACATTTTTGCTGAATTAGGCTGAAAAACGTTGAAATGAGTGCAAATAAAATGTTGAATTAGCTGAAAGTTCAAATTAACATAAAACGGCTGAATAGTAGCTGAAATAGCAGAAAAACTTAAACTTGCAGAAATAAGCTGAAAGTAGTGTAACAAGCTGAAATAAGCAGAAAGAAGTTAGAAGAAGCACAAAAATATTGTAATTAGCAGAAATAATCAAATGAGCATAAAACAGCTGTAAAAAACAGCTGAAATTAGCTGAAAAAGTTCAAATTAGCACAAGGAAGCTGAACCGGAACAAAATGTGAAAGGAGCAGTAAAAGGCTGTAAACAGATCTTCATTTTCTATGAGGAAAAAATGGTAGAAAAGGCTAAATATTTTTAAAAAAAAGCTAAAGTTGCACCAATACCAAAAGTCATAGCAGGATTGTCCTGAAAGAGCTGAATGTTTTGATTTATGATTTGTTGAAATAGCACAAAAATTGTGTAACGAGAAAGATGCTGAGAAACGTACAGAAGAAAAATGGATCACCATAGTGTGAATGCTTCATCAACATTTTGCTTTTACAGCCAAGAAACAAAAAACCCGACAGTCAGGTGCGTCTTCTTTAGAAGCCACTGGGCTTCAAACCTTAACATTTATAACGCTGCGTTTCATTTTACCTTCTTTGCAAAGCCCAAAGTCAGCAATCTTCACATAGCCCTCCGTATCCAGGAGCAGGTTATCCAGCTTCAGATCTCTGAGGATTTTAAGAGATTCTTCCTCAGTTCATGCGTTTTAAAACCAAGATCATTTAATTCTGAGCAACAAGTTCTTTTAAATGTACCTGTACACAATCTTGTGGTCATGTAAAAACTGCAATCCCAGCACAACACACGCTGCATAAAATCTGCAAAGGTACAACAAACAAGAAGCAGATTAGAAAGTTTCACTGACGGAGAAACAAGAAGGGTCTTCATCTCATGTGACCACATCACTGATCCAATCCCTAAAGATTCACTGACCCAGACTTCATGGTCCCATGTTGCTGAGGTTTGTTTTTGCCAAAATATTCTTTTAGATAATAAACTGCATCCTGTACTTTTCTACATATCAGATGTATTTGCCTGCCAGTTTTCTAAGGACTAACTTTAAACAGATGGATCTTTTTAACTGCGCTGCAATGTGAGCAGCCTGCCATCTCAGCTCGACTGTTTATCCAAAGTATTTTACAGTGACAGACAAAAACTACCGTGATGTGTGTAATATGAATAATTAGAGATGTATAGTTTGTGATGGCTTGTTAATAGTTCAGGATAAAACATGGCAGAGTGGAACAGACTCCTTGCATAAGAGATGCTGTGATGCTGCACAGCACCCAGCAACAGAGCCCGTGTCCAGGTCTACAGTTACAGTAGTCGGGCTCCAAGAGACAAAAGATCAAGGCTTTCCTTTTGATAAATCCTATAGTTAGGGTTGTATAGTAAGTGCAGTGACAGCCTTACAGATATGGGGAGGGACCCTGCCCTTCTCGACACTCACAGGATTATTTACAGCCAGTCCTGGCTGGTGTAATGTAGCAGGAGCGTCTGATGAGGTCATTTCACATTTTCCTGGACAGTGACGTACTAGAAGTCCTGCACCGTTGTGACCTCTGCTCCTTGTTCCTCACTGTTCCACCTCCCTCTCATTCACACACACGTACTCGGTCTTACTACGGCTGATTAATACCCATTCCTCTTCTTTCAAGTTCACAACAAAATAAAATGCTAGATTTTAGTTACAGCAGTTTGAGGAGCAGTCTCTGCAGTTGAACTTAAAGGTCTTGTGTTAGTACTTCACAATAGGAGTCCCAAACACTGAGCGCTAACCTAAAAAACTCTCTAAACATCTAAAAGTTCATAAAAACAAAAACAAACAAAATTACTGTTCCTCAGTAAAACAAATGTAGCCCAGATCAACCATTATAAGAGCACAGTATTTAAAACAACATACAGCGTATGCAACATACCACCCCATGAATAGAACAGGTTAAACTTATTGCCATTTTACTGACTGCAGTTCATGTTTGTGTTTTATATTTTTAATTAAAACGACTGCAGTCTGGTTCAGTCACTTTCATTCTTTTAGTGAAACAGGTAAAGAGCGACGAGGGGAAAAACTCACAAGCCGTAAAAACATTCACGAGTTCAAAGCTTATTCCGACACGGATCACCAGGAGCACTCACTTGGCCCGCGGCTCGGAGAAAACATCAGCGTGGATGTGCATCATCAGGTCGCCTCCCGCCGCGTACTCCATGACGAAACAAACATGCTCCGCCGTCTGGAAGCACGCAAACAGGTTGACCAGGAAGGGGTGGCGGACGCTGTTGACCGTCTCAAAAATCCTCTTCTCACACATGAGGCTGACAGAGAGGAGGACACAGAAAACGATGTTAGGATTCAGACTTGATCAAGAAAAGATGTGAACTTCAAACACGCTTCACTGGTCGATGACCTCCCTCTGCCGGGTCATTCTCTCTGATGTGTCCCATCAGAACGTGTGTGACGTTCCTGAATGTTGCTTTCTTGATTTACTGCCTTTTGTATTCATACCATCTGCTCACTACAGACTCATGTTCAAGCTGCTGTTTAATACACCATATTATTTTACATGATTAGTGTTAGTGTATATCTTAGATCCTTGTATACAGTTTATTTTTATACTTTAGCTATTTTTGGGTGAAACTGGGACCTTGAGTACAGAACTTTGTTCCACCTCATGTACCACATGTGATGAGAATGACAATAAAGAACCTTCAAACTTGGTTTTCAAGCCTGACTTGAAACACAACACTAGTGTGTAGTAAAGGGTGTGTCCCTGTGTCCTCTTGATTTCACACAGAACCTTAAACTCAAGCTATTAGAATTCTGACTGATCCCATCACAAGTGAAGAACTCGCATAGAAGCAGAGGGAGTACTTTAATATATTTAAACTCCCCACCAGCACCACCAAGTATTAAAAACACAGGCTATTCTAAATCCGGTGCAACCACACACTGACCTTTCATTCAAACTTTT